GAGAGAGAGAGAGAGAGAGAGAGAGAGAGAGAGAGAGAGAGAGAGAGAGAGAGAGAGAGAGAGAGAGAGAGAGAGAGAGAGGGGAGGTCGTCAGTAGGGGAATGTGTCCTGAGGCATCGAACGACAATCAAAGGTGACAAGTTATTGAGATGAGGAAGAGGACGACGAAGAGAAGGAGAAACCGAGAAAAAATGAGGAAGTGGGAAAATAAGCGTGAGGTTGGCGTATGGCGGGCTGAGGCCGGTGGGAACTGCGCAAGCAGCGAAGGACGGGTAATTAGGACACGAAGGACGCACATACGAGAACGGTACAAAAGGAGGAGGGGAGGGCAAACAATCAGGAGGGGGTGGAATGTGTTGTGTGGGTAGGACGAACATGATGTGGATGAGAAGCGGAGGAGGTTGGAGACTCACTTGTTCTCTCTCCCTCTGTTTGTGTCTCTCTCTCTCTCACACACAAAAAGAAAAAATTAAAAAAAGTGGCAGTGTATATTTCCATGTCCTGGTGGAAGATTCGTTCCGATTTTGCTCATCCTATTGATGGAAGTAGCCTCTCTCTATCTTTATTTATCTGCGCGTATGGCTGGAAAGAAGTGAATATTTTCGTATTCTAGTGGAAGATTCATTCTGATTTTACTCACCCTATCGATGGAAGTAGCGTCTCTCTATCTCTCTGCGTGCATGGCTGGAAAAATCTCTCCCTCTCTCTCTCTCTCTTACACACACACACATACACGTGTAGTAGTGTACTCTCTCTCTCTCTCTCACGCACGCACACACACACACACACATGTGTAGTATATATTTGCATGTTCTAGCGGAAGTGTGAGGCATAAGGCCCCGATGAGCCGCTTTTTCCCTATGAGCAGCACAATCGGCCGCCCTAAGTGAAGGCATGCCCGACCAAGGCCAAGAGGCCTGTTTTTTTTTTCGGCTACCACGCAACTGGGGAGATTCAGGCAGTTGAGCAGCGCCAGTTGGTTGAGAGCGTCTAGGCCCGGGCTGCCTTTTTCGTACGTAACTTAGGCAGGCCCTGAGCCAGATACACAACAAGGGCCGAACACAGGCTGCGGGCAGTTGGGCACAGGCAACAGTCACAGGCCTTGGGCCTGATTCGTTTGGACCGGGGCTCAACCTCTCAGGGCCTACCAGAAGCTTCTGGGTAGGGCCCAACTCAGCCACGCCACACGCAGCAGGCAGGCCACTTCCATTTAGGAAAGTGCCTGCCCTCGCATTGGATATTCGGGCACTGGCTGCCTGCTGCGCTAATCGTTGGCTAGGCCCACGCGTTCACGGACTGAACGAGCAGGCAGTCATGGATGAGCAGGCAGTCATAATCGAGCTGCACTGTACTATGCTCCATGGGGCGCATGGTGGTCCTTGGGTGCACATGGCATCTGTGAGTGGGGGATTGAGGTTGTGAGTGATACGTACCTGGTGCTCGAGGCTAACGACATTGGCCGAGATCTGCTCGTACTTCGGGAAGCTGTTGACGTCACCAACAGAATTGTAGATAAGCTAGATAGGATCTGCCATTTGTAGTCTAGGCACAGAGCGCCAGATAGGAAGTCGACATTGGTTCTTTGTTGATGATGATGAGACTATTCCAAAATTGTCACTTATGAGCTTTTGCTGTGCTCTTATTTGGTGGAACTTGTGTTGCAATTCTGCTTTTATAAGGCTGATAGGAGACTGGGACAAGAAAATGCTGAAGCATGAGTTGCCTGATAGGAGAACCATTAAACTAGCTAAGTGTAAGGCTAGTAGGTTGTTTGAGTCCTATACGTGCTTATGTACAACAAAGTTTTACAAATACTATAAACAAGAACAAGAGGAGGGTATGTACCTAGTCTACGTCTCAGAGAAAGGGGAAGCCGTTAAACACCCCCAGAGATAGAGCATATCGTCGCGAAGTCCCCCGATCTGTACAAGAAGCCCACAGGAGTCGTTGAAAGGGAGATAGTCCACGCCCTAGAAATAATTCCAAGGAGTAAAACCCCAAAAGGGAAGAAACTATAGGATGGCCCCGGAAGAGAGGGACGAACTCTATCGACAACTGAAGGAGCTGACATAAAAGGGATGTATACGGCGTAAGTACTTCTCCCTTCGGATCCCCAGTGTTGTCTGTAACGAAGAAGGGAGGACGTTTGAGGATGCGCTTTGACTATAGAGGCCTCAAAGCCATCACAGTGAAAAATGTAGAGCCTCTAAGTGGCTAGTATTAGGGACTGGCCACATCCTCAGACGGTGACTGAGGTTATATCTTTCTTAGGGATGAGCGGCTACTATAGGAATTTTGTAAAGAACTATTCGACAGTCATCTCTCCTTGGACAGATCTTACTCGACTTGACACCTCATGGGACTGGAGTGATGAGTGTGAGGCTGCCTTCAAACGATTGAAGCACGCACTCATGAATCACGAGTTTCTCATGGATTCCCTATCCTCAAAGACCATTTATAGTAACCACTGACGCTAACCGGTATGGGATTGGCACAATACTGGCGTAGCAGGATGGGAAGAAGTTGAGGCCGATTGAGTATGAGCAACAAGATGTCATCTAAAAAGTAGGCTGAGACCACTTAAGTGAGGGAACTCTATGCCCTATACAAGACTCTAATCCACTGGAAACACTAACTGCTAGGTAGATTCTTCTACTAAAGTGGACTAAGACTTAACTTGTTCTTTCCAATGCCCTCAAACGCTAGAATAAGGTCATAGACAATATGACTTTAAGATAGAGTAATTGGAGGGGGAGGATAACAAGTTGTTGATGCGCTGTCATGTAGGGTCTGAGTTTTTGAATTGGGCATATCTCACGAGCTAACTCAATCGATGGTGGAAGCCTACCGGAAAGACTATCTCCTGATGGATGGGTTATGCTTTCTGGATAAGGCAGGGAATGATTTGGATGATCCATCCTACGTTATTCGTATCCCTGATCACCTGCGCACTACCCAGTTTTTCATTCCTCAAAGCTTGCACTTTTTTGTTGAGACAGATCAATTCCCTTCAAGGAGATCAATGCTGCCCCCAATCATGGATGACCACGTGGACGTCGACGACATTCTGGGGCACAAAGATATGCCTGTTCCAAGACCTTTGGGCAGAGGGAGACCTCCAAAACCCAGATGACAATACTGGGTCAGATTCAGGCATCATACGGATCCAAAAGAAGACCGGTGGTTTACCAGAGAGGAACTGATTGACACAACTCCTCAGGTGGTGGAAGAATATGAGAGGATGCTGAAAGGGAAGACACCTGCGAAGTAAGCATCTCGGCGGTCTTTCGAAGCTAAGGGGGATGGAATGTGAGGAATGAGCCCTCAAGAAGGGGCCTTGTCGTGATGTACATATTCTGGGCTAAGGCCCCCAACAAGCCTCGTGCGCGCCCTAAGTGAAGGCGGTCCAGCACATCAACAAGAGGCCTTTGTTCAAACATTTCACGAAGTGGGGTCCATACAGTTATAGCACGCAAGTTGGTTGGTGTGCACCGAGTCTCGAATCTCTGCAAATGTGGAAATCCCAGGGCCCCACAGTTGGTTAGGCCCTGGGCACATAAACGTGAGGCCGACAATGCATGTTGGATATAGAGGTCCTCACTGTCTACCTCGTAGTCCAACCTTTGGTTGGTTCCACGATGCTGGCTCAATCCCCAAGGTAAGCTTTCTCCCTCTTCGTTTTCTCTCTCTACTTCTCTCTGTTGTCTCTCCCACTCTTGTTTGGCCCAATTTCGTTGCACCTAGAACATCATACCCCTGCCGAAAATATGATCCAATTCGAAATGAATCTTCCCCAGAATGCAGGTAGATTCATTCTGCTTTTATGCCAAAACAGACTTCATCATCGTGCTCAGCCTATACTCCCCTTTTCTTCCATTGGATCCACCCCTTAACTTCTCAATTCGTTTTCACCAACGGATTCGCCCACCTCCTAAATCTCTCACCTATGCCTCCTTTCTCCCAATCTCGCCAGTAGATGAGTAGCAACTCGCCTTCATGCTCCCGCCAGCTTCTTCACCCATATCACCACCGTGCAGCCACCTTTCCTACTACTCTAATCCTACTCTACTAATCTCAAAACTAATCATGCCATTGAAATCGCGCCATCTCCACGCACGCCATTTCCTAGATAGCTCTTTCTATACTAGCTTTCATGCCCTTTCAGTTTCACTAACGAGTTCGCCATGGCCAAAAACCTCCGTTGAGCACCTTTCCTCCCTTGCTTTCATCGAGACACGGGCGAGTCTTTGTTTTCTCTACTCCCTTCTACTCCCTCTCGATCCAGCCATAGCTCATTTCCCTCTGCTACAATCTGCACGTACCCGGCCCACTTTCCCTTCCGGGTTCAACCACTCTCCTCACCTATACTTGGTCGATATCGGCCTCATCTCTGCCGCTCCGGCCCACTGCCTTCGCACTGTCGTTCGACTGCTTTGCTCCGCCAGCGGCTGTTAGCGCAGCCCGATACTTTTCACGTCCGATGAACGATTTGTCCGCCAGTATCATTGTGAGCCCTCACCCTCGTTCCTCTGGTCATAGTGCTTTGTCCTATGGTCGGGCGCCAAACAACTCTACAGCTCCCGCCTTTCTGAAGGAAACTTCGGAGGGAGCCAACTACCGTACGGTTTGCTTCAATCTTTCAATTGTGGGTGCTCGTATGACGGGTCGCCCTCACACCGGTGTGGCTATGACATTCACCACGGCGCCTCTTCGGTGCCAACTGCGCGTTGACCGAGTATATCGGAAGACTCCGGATAGCTCAGGTTATTAGGCGGCCCGATATCTCTCTGTCGGTCTGTGCCTTCGTCCGGCGAACAGCTTGCCATTCAACATTCGCTTCGGGCCCCAGCCCGGATTTGACCGGCTCCAAATGAAACAAAATAGAAAAATAAAATAAACTAGAAACACAAAAGGAAAGGGGGTGGGACCTAACAGCACCCCCCGTGGTTGGCTTCCCCTAACAAAAACTAAAGGGGATAACCCTGAACCCTTCAGCTCCTTCAGTGCTGCACCACCACCATGCTGCTGCCTGCTCGCCTCTATCCCCGCACCTCCGTTTCGCAAGTCCAATGTCGTAACCCATAGGGCTAAGCCCAAGCCTGAAACCAGCATGCGCGGAATCTCATATAAATCAGTGCGGCGTAGCGCTCAAGGCCAAGACAACGCCCGGGCCACTCCTCCATCCGCAGTCGAGCGCGCGAGCACTACGCAGTCGAGCGCGCGAGCACTAAACGTCCCCGCCCGTTTGTTCAGACTACACCATGGCCGCCACCATTCCGCACGCCAACCCTACCGCCGGTCGAACGTGTCGGATAGAGGGACTGAAAGTTTGATATCCTTTCCTTAATCAAAAAATAAGAACCAGGCCGGCCGGCTATGTCGGCCTTACGAACAATTCAAAGGAAAAGATCACGCGCGCCTTAAAGCTTGCACGCCCACGCACTCTCTGCTCTAGTCAACCATCTAGTCAGCGTGATTCACAGATGCAACCACGCCTTGCACGGAATATTCGTATTTTAAACCAACTTATTTTTCCTGTTGCTTGCAAAAACTAGGGCGGATACCCTTGTAAGGGTATTCGCACCGACAACGTTGCGCTAATCCGGCGCTTGTCGTCTGCCTTTGCGGTACATGTATGCGGTCTTCTGGGTGATCGGCCGTAGGGAGTGTGTAGTGAGGAGGGCGAAGGCAACAAGGCGACCCAGGTGGAGAGGGGTATCGCCAGGAAGGCTACGTGGTGATTATTGGGTGTTCGCAGTGTGATGAGAACTATCTGACGTGCGATTGATGCTGAGGTGGAAAGGCAGGATAATGCTGGTTGTGCCGAAGCGGCGATTGGTCATCACAATCGGCCTCAGGTCATTTGGTGAGAATATCTGTGGTTGGGGGCAACTATTTTGAGGTACGTTGCTCTTAACCTTATCTACCCTCTTCAACACTTCTTACCGTGAGGATGCGTGTTCTGTCTTGAGAGTCCTCTCATGTGGGGAGTCGAGTGCGCTCAACCTTGAGAGTCGGCATTGTTCACGTGGAGCATCTAGAAGGAGAGGGCGGAGCTATTTGAAGGGCCCTGGAGGAAGCACTAGGTCACGGTCACCATACCAACCCACCGGGAGTAGAGCACGCATGCTTTGCTGCTTTGCCCTTGGTCTGCCTGCTGCACTGATAGATGGGTTATGAGGGGCAGGCCGGCGCTACAGGGGAGACGAGTACCGGGGGTCTATAAATAAGCACCGACAACATACTTGGGACGCACCACGGTGCGCGCCTCAGCTCACGAGTTGCGCACGCAGCGCACCGCACTACGCCCCGCACCTGATTAAATAGGGTCGCAAAAAAAAGAAATTGGGGGGGGGGGGGGGGGGGGGGGGGGGGTGAGTTCGGTGCCCCTCCGGCCTCTCAAAATTGAAAAACAGGCCGCGCCGGCTTCGAAACCGGCCCCGATCGTGGCCCAAAGTTTTGTTTTTGGGGAAAAGGTCTGCAGGATTCGAATTGTGCAGGCCTTCCCCCCCAAAAACAAACACTTCGGGGCACGAGCGGGGCCGGTTTCGAAGTCGGCGTTGCCAATTCGTGTGCAGGTTCGTCGCGGCCGACCGACGACGACGAGGGAGGGAGGAGCCAACGAGGACGACGACGGAGGACTGCCGACTTCGAAACGACGACGGACGACGATGGAGGAGGGAGGAGGGCCGCCGACAAGGACGACGACGGGGGACTGTCGACGAGGACGACGACGACGAAGGAGGGAGGACGGCTACCGGCAAGGACGACGACGACAAAGGAGGGTGGAGGGACGACTACGAACCACGACGAGGACGACGAAGGAGGGAGGAGGGCTGACGAAGGAGGGAGGAGGAGTTGGCAGCGGCAGTGCCAGCACTCAGCGGCGGGAGGGAGCGGCGGGAGGCCGCTTCCCAGGGTAGTAATGTTGCCAGCAGTTCTGGCACCACCTCGGGAAACACGTCGGGCAAGTAGGAATGGTCGTTGTTCCTGCCAGGGTCGAAGTGGTGGACACACCCTCACCATCTCGAGAGATGGCCCAAGCTACTGACTCCGTTGTCGTCCCGCAAACACATTCGGACCCATCGATCCTCTATTCGATGAATGTGATAGAGTCCTTAAAGGAGCTAGAGGAGTGGTCTAGATCAGACCCACTAGCTTCTTGGACGGCCTTGGTTAAAGCCCCTAAGGGTGAGTTGTTCGTCGATGAGGTAGTCAAAGGCCGCAAGGCCAGGGCCTATTATGACACCCTCGACGTGAAAATTCATTAGTCGTGCGTGCGTCGAGAGGCTGCGCTTACAGGGGCAAGTGCAGCGCTTGAGTCGACCTGTGGAGTCTACCTGTGCCAACAAACAGCGCATGGTAGTCAACGACTACCTTAAAAACATAGAGTGTCTATTCCCGTACGCGAGAGGGGAACTGAGACATCGAGTCTCGTTCCTAGTCAGCGATGATCCCCCAATGGACATCCTGTTGGGTATGTACTATCTTTCGGTTGCACAACGCCAATTTGACTGGGACCGAAAAGTGGTCAAACACACTTTGCCTGGAGGGGGGACAACCAGATTACGTAAGTTCAAGGCTAGTAGTCTGATTGAGTCCTACGGATGCATGTGTGAGGCCACATTCTATAACTATTATAAGCAAAATCCGGAGGAGGGTATGTACTTAGTTTATGTCTCTGCAGCAGGCGAGCCGGTGAAAATGCTGCCGGAGATAGAGGGAGTAGTCACTAAATACCCTGATTTATTTGACGAGCGGAAAGGGGTTGTTGAGAGGGAGGTTGTCCACGCGATAGAGATTATCCCAGGGTCTAGTATTCCGAAGGGTAGGATCTATTGGATGTCTCCAGCAGAGCTCGATGAGCTTCGCTGACAGTTGAAGGAACTTATAGAGAAGGGTTGGATTTGGCCTAGTGTCTCCCCTTAGGGATCTCTAGTCTTTTTTATATCGAAGAACGGGGGAACCTTGAGGATGTGCATTGACTATGGGGGCCTTAGTGCCATCACTGTGAAGAACACAGAGCCTTTACCGCACATCGATGAGTTGTTGGACCGAGTGCAAGGGTGCCGGTACTTCAGTAAGATAGATCTGAAGTCTGGGTACCATCAGATTGCAATACGGCTTAAGGATCAACACAAAACCGGTTTTCAGACTAGGTATGGCCTATACAAGGTTGTGGTGATGCCTTTCGGCCTTTGCAATGCTCGTCGGATCTTTCATGACTACTTCGACAAGTTTGTCATCATGTACCTCGATGACATACTTAGTAGGTCTGTCAAAGAGCACGTTGGTCATTTAGACAAAGTCCTTAGCCTCCTTCGATAACACCAGTTCAAGATCAATGGGGAGAAATGCGAGTTTGGCCGCAACCGGATCTTGTATCTGGGTCATGAGATTTCTGCGGAGGGATTGAAGCCCGATGATGCGAAGGTGGCCAGCATTTGTGACTGGCCGCATCGTCAGTCTATGACTGAAATGAGGTCCTTCTTAGGGATGACCGGCTACTACCGCAATTTTGTCAAGATCTATTATATAGTGGTTGCGCCTTTGACAGACCTGACCCGCCTTGACACCTCATGGGAGTAGACAAACATGTGTGAGGTTGCCTTCAGACATCTGAGGCATGCTGTGACACACCATGAGGTCTTGAAACTTCGTGATCCGAACAAGCCATTTATATTAACCACAGATGCTAGCCAATATGGCATAGGCGCCGTGCTCGCACAGCAGGAGGGGCCAAAGTTGAGGCCTGTGGAGTACATGTCCAAAAAGATGCCCTCTCAGATATGAAAAGGAGCTCTATGCGATCTACAAGGCCAACCCACTGGAGGCACTATCTCCTTGGGAGGTTCTTCTACGTCAGGACTGATCATCATACCCTGAAGTCGATGAGAACCCAGCTAGTGCTTTTGGATGCGTTGAAAAGATGGATCGAAGTCATTGAGCAGTATGACTTTGAACCCCAGTACATCAAAGGAGAGTACAACAGAGTCGATGATGCGCTGTTGCGTGAGTACAACAGAGTCGCTGATGCGCTGTTGCGTAGGCCAGACTTCCTCAGTGCGCTGATCACTGAGTTTGAGCTTGCGGACAATGTTACTCGTTCTCTGGTCGAAGCCTATCGCGAGGATCCGTTTATGGCTGAGATCATACGCAGAATCAAGGTGAAGGACAAAGTGACTTCTACCGAGTTTGAGTTGGTCAACGGCCTGCTGTTCATTGAAAAGGCCAGGAATAAACGCTTGTGTGTGCCTAATAGAGAGTCTTTTGTGTAGTTTATTTTTAGGTGAGTGTCATGATGCCACAAGACATTTTGGCTACAAAAAGACTGCAGCCAACTTGCTGCAGAAGTTCTGGTGGCCCACAATGATGAGAGACGCCAAGCTGTACGTGGAGACTTGTCAGGTTTGCCAGAGAGACAAGCCACGTACATAGGCCCCTCTTGGGCTTCTCAAGCCCCTTCCGATAACGGAAAGGCCCAGTGAGAGCCTGTCCATGGATTTCATGGACACGCTGGTCACCAGCAAGAGTGGAATGAGATATGTCTATGTCATTGTGGATAGGTTTAGCAAGTATGCTAGGTTAGTCGCAATGCCTGCAATAGCCAAGGCTGAGTACGTGATTAAGCTATTCAAAGAAAACTGCTTCAAAGACTTCGGTTTGCCAAAGTCTATAATTAGTGACGGGGATGTACAATTTACCATTGAACTGTGGAAGGTCGCAGTTTCAGAACAAGGGACACAACTGCAGATGACCGCTGACAACCACCCAAATGTGAACAGGCAAGCAGAGCAGCTGAACCGCGCTTTTCAACACTTGCTGAGGCATTACATCAAGCCCAATGAGGTAGATTGGGATGAGAAACTTGCTCTCATCGCTAGTCTGTATAACAATGTCGTGCACAACGCAACCAGGGTGAGCCCCAACAATTCGCTACTGTTACAAACCTAGACTGCCCTTAGATTTTCTACTACCTGAGAATCGGACTTCTGATGCACCAGGCACCTTGGAGTTTGCATATTGATATGAGCGCCTGATGCAACAAGCTGTAGAACAAATGCACGGGGCACAAGCGACGATGATAGAGCCTGAGAACAAGCACCGCCGCCCATCTACATTCCAGGTAGGGGATAGAGTCTAGGTCAAGTCCTCAAAACTGGGACAAAGGCATGGGATATCTCGTAAGCTCATGCCACAGTACTTCGGACCCTGGAAGGTTCTAGATATCGTCGGGGATGATCCGGATGGGCCATCATATGTAGTTCAGATCCCTGGTCACCTTCGCACTTACCTTGTCTTTCACGCCTCCAAGCGTGCACCCTTCAAGGAAACTGATCAGTTTTCCTCACGATGCTCAATGCTGCCCCCAACCATGGATGGAGAGGTCGACATCGACGACATCGTGGACCATAGGGAAATGCCAGTTCCAAGACCAATAGGCAGAGGACGTCCTCCTAAGCCGAAACTGCAATATCGCGTTCGGTTCAGACATCACATTGATCCTATAAGGAGGACAAATGGTTTACCCGGGAGGAAGTGATGCAGACCGCTCCATAGGCTATCGCTCATAACAAGAATAAGGAGGACAAATGGTTTACCCAGGAGGAACTGATGCAAACCGCTCCACATGCTATCGCTCATTACGAGAAGTTACTGCAGAAGGGAAAGCGCCTGATTGAGTAATGGAACTTCTCAGAGGACTGTTGAAGCATGGAGGTGGTAATGCGAGGCATAAGGCCCCGATGAGCCCCTTTTTCCCTGTGAGCAGCACAGTCGGCCGCCCTAATTGAAGGCAAATCCGACTGAGGCCAAGAGGCCTATTTTTTTTCCGGCTACCACGCAACTGGGAAAATTCGGGGAGTTGCACAGCGCCAGTTGGTTGAGAGTGCCCAAGCCCAGGCTGGCTTTTTTGTACATATCCGAGGCAGGCCTTGGGCCAGATACACAACAAGGGCCGAACATAGGCTGCGGGCAGTTGGGCACAGGCAACCGTCACAGGCCCTGGGCCTGATTCGTTTGGACCGGGGCTCAGCCTCTCGGGGCCTACTGGAAGCTTCTGGGTTGGGGCCCAATGCAGCCAGGCCACACGCAGCAGGCAGGCCACTTCCATTTAGGAAAGTGCCTGCCCTCGCATTGGATATTCGGGCACTAGCTGCATGCTGCGCAAGCGCTGCTGCGCTAATCGTTGGCCAGGGGCCCACTCGCTCACAGGCGAGCTGGATGAGCAGGCAACCATAGTCGAGCTGCGCTGCACTATGTTGGACAGGGCGCATAGTGGTCCTTGGGTGCACGTGGCATCTGTGAGTGGGGGATCGAGGTTGTGAGTGATACGAGAGACATGCCTGGTGCTTGAGGCGAACGACATTGGCCGAGATCTGCTCGTACTTCAGGAATTTGTTGAGGTCACGAGCGACATTGTAGATATGCTAGATAGGATCTGCCATTTGTAGTCTGGGCACAGAGCGCCAGATAGGAAGTCGACATTGGTCCTTTGTTGATGATGATGAGACTATTCCAACACTGTCATTTATGAGCTTTTGCTGTGCTCTTATTTGGTGGAACTCGTGTTGCAATTTTGCTTTTGGTTCAAGGTCACGACTATCTGGTTACATGTGTATGATGCTGCTTGGTTTCTGGAATTCGCTATCGCTCATTTTCCTTGCAGAAGATTCATTCGATTTTGCTCATCCTATCGATGGAAGTTGCGTGGGGCCAGCCGCAGGTTTGGAGAGTTACCTCTTGGTCGGTGTGTTGCTCATCTTGTTGATGGAAATCTCTCTCTCCTTCTCTCTCTCTCACACACACACACACACAACTGTCGGGGTTCAACCTCTTGATGAGTCAGTGAAAGTTCGACGAAACAGTCTGGTAGAGTCATGCTCTTTTTTAGGGTATAGTGAATATGACAACATACACATACACACACACACACACACACACACACATATATATGTTGTTACAGAACTATTGGCTGAGAGCGTAAGCGCGTGAAGTAGAAGAAATAAGACGAGCGAAGAAAAGAAAAATGAAAGGACAGACAGGCAAAGAGACAGACAAGCCAGAATGACACAAAACAGTGTCCTCTTATTCGTTGTTTCACTGTATTCTTATTTCTTTCACTGTTTTACAAAAAAAAAATGCATTGAACAAAGGATAGTAATAAAAACAAAGACACATTGAAATCATTGAACTTCTCAGTCTTCTTAACGCCTCCTCCACCGTGCCTCTAACGTATAAGGCTCGCCACGTTGATGAAGTTGAGCGGGAGCTGCCCCTATCCCCGTATGCCATAATAGCGCACTTGGACGCTATGGGAAAGAGGCAGAGTGAAGGAAGAGGTGTTAAACACAAGGAAGAGAGGAGC